TAATAAAGCGGCTATGAACATCCCACCATGTATTCAGCCATTGTAATTTTGTAACACCCGTTTTATTTTTCTATAGTTTGGTTTGTAAGGGTTAGTTTTGATTTTACGAGTTGATCACAGATTGATATCAGTTAGAAAAACATTGAAAACCAGCCCCAGGGAGTACTGGACAGCTGCTGTTTCGTCAGCCTAGTTTGGGAATCATCGGCAGTGCGCACCCACTGGGATTCAAACCCAGGACCTTCCAGTTACAGGGCTAGCTCGTATATCATTCAGCCACTGGTACCCGATTCAATGGCTAACCCATGAATTCTAGCTTCTACCAATTCAATGAATCTCTGAATGATATCAATCCGTGATCAACTCGTAAAAACATAACTAACCCTTACAAACCAAGTATAATTATATTTCAAACTTACAAACCAAACTATAGAAAAATTATCTGATACTCGCCAGTGACTTGCTACAGGTTGAAGTTTCCTGTAATTCTAGTGAGAATTCATGACCAGTGAGGTCCAATTAGATGTCACGTGTGTGAATGGATGTCCCACCAACGACAATGGTTGGGGTCACGCTAAATCACGAATTGGTAGAAGTTAAAATTCATGAGCCATTGAATCGGGTCCCAATGGCTGAATGGTATACGAACTCGCCTTGGTACCGGAAGGTCCTGGGTTTGAATCCCAGTGGGTGTGTACTGCCGATGATTCCCAAACTAGGCTGATGAAACAGCAGCTGTCCAGTACTCCCTGTGATTGGTTTTCAATGGTTCTCTAACTGATATTAATCCGTGATCAACTCGTGAAAACACCCGTTTTATATCAAAAAACTCCGTCTTCTTTATATAGTTCTACGCGATATCTCATAGCTTCCAAATGACGGTTGTCTCGGTGAAGTTAAACTATATCCTAGCCTAAATCACAGCGACTTCGAACAACCAATCAGAATTCAGATGCAAAAATAGTCGCATAATCGTTTTTTTCAAAAAATGTCCTACACATAGTGGTTACACTGGATAATTGCCATTTATGTGTTCAAGGTTTAAATTTTTGCACACTTTGACTTTGGTTATAGCACTTTAACTGTGCTGTTTGTCTGTTTTTTCTCCTCTTTAGACTAAACTTCCAAATAGTAAGCTTCTCCTTAGTATTAATTAGTTCGTTTCAGGGTTGCGTTTTTTCAATAGTCATCACTTAAGCATAACTCAAAGTTAAATCACTATGCTCAGTGTTGGTAAATTTCTCAAAAACAATAAATAAATAAAAACCAAATAAGAATTACCTAATGACTGACAGCGTATGTGAGAAACAGATAGATAGAGAGGGGGCGAGGAATAGATGTTACTTCTTTGGCTATAAACTGGATGAAATAAATGTGAAAAAAATGAAGAGTATGTGAAATGAGCAAAGTTTGAGAATCATGTGTAAGTATGTGCTGTTTGTGAAAATGAGAACAGTGAATTCACGATAATTTATGGTCTGAATCTAGATTACATACACATACACACAGAGAGACAGAGTATTAGCTACTGATTTTTATTAGTAGTGAATAAAATTCTGTCGAAAAATTACAGGTGACTGATCAGGATGTTGCTTTTTCCCCGAAAGAGTTCAATGAATTTCTCAGCTTATGGTGGAATCTCACTAATATATAATTTGTAAATTTTTGGTACTGTGGTGTAGTGTGTAGTTCCATATTAATTTTTTACCAGATACATCACACACACACACAGTGAAACAGTACTGCTTACTGGATGACAAAGTCTCAAGCACAGTATATATATTTTTCATAATCAAATCAGTTATAGCCATACAACATAGAAACTCCCTTTTACAGTTTTCTTTATTCCTTCCCATTGATTGAAGGCGTAGTACAGTCTTCCAGATGTTTGGGTCAGATGTTAATTCATTCATGTACATGCATAGAATGATGACAACACCAACAGTAAGATATTTTAATCAGCAGTAGTACTTCCACAAAAAGAGGGAACCTCGGAAACCACCTTACGGAGAAATCTTGACGATTGAAGCAGGAATAAAAGGGGCTGTTATTCTGACCACCAACAAACTCAATTAGAAACAAGCTTTGTCGGTTAAAGGATCAATCCTGTTTATCTGATACCCTGTCTGCAATGATTGTCAGGTCACATACGTAGGTCAGACTAGTAGAATAGGGTCAATCAGACTAGGGGAACACAAAAACCTAGCAGTGAAATCTAGATTAGTTGACTCTGATAAGATAAGAAATCTAGAGAAAAGTTCAGCTTTGGCACTCACTACATGCAGTTACACACAACCATACAATAGAATGGAATAAGATAACAGTTTTAAAATCTAATGTCACAGGGTGAAGGGAGAGATTGACAATTGTGGCTTTATTTATCAAATCAAATGAAAATACGTGCAATATAAATGATTAAAAACCCGTCCTGAACATCTGGAAAGTTCGACTACCCATACAACAAATAGGAAGGAAAAGAAAGAATTGTGCTCAAAACTTGTCATCCAGTATATAATACTATTTCCTCCCTGTGTGTGTGATATATTTAATAAACAAATTAATTTGGAGTTATTATACAATCTTATTATACGTCATAGTAATAGAATATTTCATCCGTCTATCAGTCACATAAAACGTGTCATTTGTCTAACCAGTCAATATATTTATAAGTTACAAATCAATTAATTCGTCTAGATCACAGCAAAACATGAACCAAGAGTTATGTTAACTACTTAAAGAAATGTTAGAAAAACGAATAACTCAGTCTTCTAGGCATTTTATTTAGTCAAATTGACATTATTCTTACATTTAATCTACCTGTAGCTTTATAGATTAATCGAAGAACATTAAAACTAATCAGGGGAGTATGGTTAGGGCAGAGTTTTATTCAGTTATATCAATAGTATGTCAGTATTCCATAATATCCATCCCTTCTCTCACTTTCATTTGTGAATATTTATATTATTATTAGCAGTAGTATTTACCTCTAAGGTTCCTAGTGGAATATACTGTCTCCACACCACATCTCTACTTTGGCCTATACTCTACACTCCTCTTCATTTGGTTTCACGAATGACCGTAGGCTCTCACCTCCTCTTCATTATATCTCCTCCAATGTTATCCTTGAACGAAGGCCCAACTAGTTACTTTCGACTCGAGCTCCGTTTGATGACCTAGCGCGATACGTCGCACAATGGTCCCCCAGTGTACGTTTAATCTGTCTCCGTTTCCTTTGGGTGATAGGTCCTTGATTGGTTCGTTCTCAGAGTTCCATTTCGCTAGTTCTTTCCAGTCGGCCAGCAATCTTATCTTGAGTATAGAACCAATGAAGGTGGTAGCTCCTGACAAAGTCTCCAGTGGCCTATTGGAAATCCTTTCAATAAGGCGCTAAGTTTTCTTACTCATATAGAAGAAGTGGCTGACAGACTTAACACTGGTGTTGAAAATCCGATAATACGCGGCATTTTTCATATTTCTTCCTAAATAGGTGAGAAAATGCGTCGCCTAGAAGAAGCTTGTATAGGAAAATCAAACTGTTAATTAAGTGTCCATTAAACATAAAAGAAATTTTGTCAGGTTTTCTTAAGAGCAGAGCAAGAAAGATATGCTTGGAAGATCACTTAATTCTATAATTCCTTGAAGCAGATGAGGTATCGGAGTACTTTCACAAAGAAATTTATCAAAAAATTGGTTGAAAAACAAGAGACAATGACAGCGAGTATAAAAACAAACTAGTGGGGAGTTATGAAGTCAAACGTTTCTTCCAGAAACCAGTCAGATGTATACGAAGAACATTGATATAAGGATAGAACTTTGACAGTGTATAGAGCATAATTCAGTTATGCTGTAAATTTATTTGATGATAAAGTCTCACAGTGTTGTTATTCAGTATTATTATTAATTACTAATGACAACGTTTCGAGCACAGTTTATTGCGACTCATATTCATTTATATCAAGATACTTACACAACTTTCCAACTTCGTCTGTACACATGAGTAACAAATCGATTATACATATGAATAAATCAATAAAAGTCGCTTATTAACAAGTGAAAATTCCATCATCACATTAATTTCCGAGTATTTTCTTCAGAATACTACACAGGAATATACATTTTAATTTTAATTTCAGTTCCCATGATTATTATTATTGTTCCCTTGGGTTCCTAGTGGAACATAGGGCTTCAACCACACGTCTCCACTTGCTTCTGTCTTCCTTCTGCTGTACTTTTCACCTGCAGCCATGTTAGTCCATACTCTTTCAACTCCTCTCTCTTCACACGATCTCCTCCATGTCACCCTTGCATTGACGTCCCACTCGCCGCTTCCCTTTCGGCCTGGTTCCACTCGAGCAATGGCCTGACGCGCGCGCAATGTCACCCAGCGGCCTCCTCAGCAAGCGAGTGTCCAATCCATCTCCACTTTCTCCTGCATATTTGTTGGGCAGCGATTGGTTCTTGTTTTGTTCGTTTATGCCCACAGTTTCTTGTTGGTGACTCTTTCCGGCCCGGCCCGGCCATCTGATCTTCAGTATAGAGCCAGCGAAGACAGTTGTTAATAAAGGTGACGTCTGCAACAGGCTGTTGGAAATATTCTTTGTGACCCACCCACCAAGTTTCTGATCCATATAGAAGAACTGACTTTACGTTTGTATTGAAAATCCGAATGAATTTTGTTGTTGATTCTGGCTGATTGACGAAGATTTCCAGATTGGTTGTTTCAGGTTGATGAATGTGTTTCTCGACTTCCTGATTCTCGCTCGATTTGACATCCTCGTCCGTTCCGACTGCCAGTAGTTGAGACAATGCTTCCTAGCTAGATAAGTGAATGGAGTAACCTCTTTCAAATTCCTCCCGTTGTTAGTGATTGGTGCTGGATAGAATATTTTAATTATATGATAAACGTTTATTAAACTAATTGTGTTTACAACACCTCCTTGGACATTTCCTCTTAACCTACTCTTTATTTGTTTATTTATTTATTTGCTTATGTATTTTAGGTGAAAGTAACAACAAATGGCTGCCAGTCGATTCAGATGATCTAGGCCGAAATAAACTATTCTATGTGCATCGTAGAAGATTCACACGTCCTAATGGTCGTTAGACAGTGAGTGAGTGATGCAAGGATGCATTCAAAACAAGGGACTTTATGTAGAAGCTTTTTTTACGTATATAAATCACTTATGAAAATTATAAAAGAAATGCTAATTCACCTTTCATCTGAACAGTGATGTATATTTATAATTATGAAATAAAAAGTGTTGCCTATGCATCTTTAGTTTTCTTGCTGCCTTTTTGATCAAGAAGTAAGCAGGTGGATATTATTAGATGGTTGGAGGCAATCGGCCACAGAAAGCCTTGCTTTACCTGAGTTTCGTACTAGCTAGCACTCGTCAACCCCGACTGATAGAATTCAGCCTACACCAAAGACAGGATTAGACACATAACACTAGTTACTGGTATCCAATCAAAATATGTGGAAATTATATATATATATATAGTGCGTTGGTTGCACAGAGGTAGAGTGCTCACCAACCACGCTTCATGTGGTCCACAGTTGGATCCCCAGCCACCGACGCACTCCTTTACCCCGCTAAACCAGTAATAAGACTGGTAAAGAAGGTGGGTTAAGCATGAGGCTAGCAACCCCATCCCGCAAAAATAAACACCACTGTTACCTAAACTTCCCTGTGTTCCACTGGGAACGTAAAGGAATAAAAACTTATATAATTGAGCGAGGTACATGTCAAGAAGATCGATGCTTAAGTTTTTATCAGCCGGTAGTCATCAGCGGCTTGTATCTACAATCTTAGATAAACTCCTTTTAAAGTCAGAAACTTTGCCACCCAACTATTTGGGCCAGAAATCATTCGCTGAAGGGATAACCAGATGATAACTAAAAGAACTCTTGAATTCATAGTGATGTAAGTTTACAACTAGAACATTGTAGTTGAATATAATTTGTGTATTTGATACGGTACAAAGCGATACAGTGTTATTTTATCGGTTAACGTTTGAGCTCCATGTTTATTTTACATAGTCATATTGTATGATATTATAAGTAGTCAGTTGTAAATGAACGTTATTCAGACGAACGTGTGACTTGGCCCATATATGTTTGATAACAGTCTGTCAATTAGGTCTACCAAAATTTCCATACATCGCAGTGCTCTTTAAACTCTTCAGCATTTCTTATTGTTTAAATCATACAATTATATCAGCTGATCACTGCATGAACTCAAGAACCTTTTGATTAGCCTTCAACAAAAAAGGCTATGAGATTCTTGAAGGAAATGAAGAAACAGTTTATTGATTTGGTTATCTCATCATGTGCGACAACACTACGTCTCACTTGTAAATCCTGTATGAAAGGGGAATATTTTGGAACTAAACAGTCTGAAAATGTCGGTAATATGTGTTCACATATTGTTTGAAATAAGGATTTTAAGAGTGGATCATGGAGTACTGGACAGCTGTCTCATCCTAGTACTTGTGAATCATCCGAATTACACACTCAACATACGTGTTCGAACCCAGAACCTTCCGGTCCCAAGTCAAGTTCATATACCATTCAACCACTGAGACCCGATTCAATGGCCAGTCCATGAATTTAACTTCTACCAATTCGTGATTTAGCGCGACCACTCCCTGGTTTTCATTGTAGCTCTCTAAATGATATTAGTCCGTGATCAACTCGTGAAAATAAATCTAATCCTTACAAACCAACTATTGAAAATAAAGCTTTATTATTTATTATATTGCGACTCCCAAGTTACTTACTTACTTGCCTTACTATCATTGGACATTTTAAGGGACTAAAAACTTATATAAGGTTTTGAGATAAATCAGAGGCAAGAGTCTTTGAACTTGTATTTTCTGCATATTAGATTGGCGATAAACAGGATCGGCATGACTACAACTTGTCTTGATAATTATCTACGGGATTCTGGTTAAATCCCTGAGCTACCTAAATTTTCTGCCTGTCAAAATACATCATTATATTTACTCCGTTTATTATTGTTTTAATCGTATGATTATCACAATGAGATACAATTTATGCTGGTGCAAAATTTCTTCTAAAGTTCCGTCCTATCACTAGGATATTTTCGAAGGAAATGAAGCAAGGGGACTGTGGTACATGCTTTAGATGGAACGACATCGTTTCAGATTACTTATTATGGGTTACTATATTATCTAAAGATTCTGCACGTGGAGTAATTACTTTGCAATGAAACTTGCTGAAATTACTGTGATGGTACAGATGTGTACAAATGGCTTAAGGGAGTCAGGCGTTGGCACTTCGTCAATACAACCTCAAACTCTCTGTTTACACAGAAAAAGTCTGTCTAGTCTCTTATTCTACCTTGGTCTTAAACTCTTCGCGAATCGTTCCCTGTAAATTTTCTATTTTTTTTCATTTTACTTTTAGTTTACTTTAACTTTAATAATTATTTCACTATTATCACTGTCATATGTTCTTTTTGTACATTTTCACACCCTTTTCACACTTGCTAAATGGACACTCAACTGCCTTTCTTCCCACTCGATAACAATTCTAACCCTATCAAATTTCTAACGCTTTCTTCCCAAGTGCCACTGAGTACTATGTAGTTTACAACTTTTATTTTTACTTTTAAAACCACTTCTGAGTAATTATAACAATTATGTCACCCCGCCCCCTATTACTCAATAATAGACTACTATACATTTTTGTTAAATATAAATACGACTATACACCCTCTGAAGATAATTTCGTCGATAAAAAATGTTCCTCGCTATATTTGTGTTTTATTTTCTTCATAAATGTGATGTGTTTAAATTCAATTATCAGAATGAAGCTACTATTATTATTATTTGTGACTAAATTGTATGTCGGATAGGTATATTTAAAAAAAAGACACTTAAAATGTGATAGCTACTTTCATTCATTATTCATACGGATACACACTAGTGACAAGGGATTCCTAACGCGTGTGGTGTTCACTTCAACGCCACAAAAGATTAGTTTTCGCCTCAATCATCATTTGGTGTGTACTCTACAGCTCACTGAACAAGACTGCCAATGTAATTATTAATATAACCGCCAGTGGAATGCGAACTTACAATTATAAAACAATCGATTTCTCACTAACTGCCTCACAAAAAAGTGTAGTTCACAATTAACGCACGGTAAATGTGGTATGACCAGTAATCAGTATCATTTATAAAATGATAAGAAGTTATCACAACGTATTGTAGACAACACCATAGTGTTTACTTAATATTGCGACAATCAACTTTGAACACAACTCATCATTGGCTAATAGGATGGTTAGTAAAGTTGATATCATAACTTAGACAATTTTGTTTGTTTTTCATCTAATAAATTAAAAACAACGTTTATTTTTAAATGTGAATCATAACTTTTTATTTAATATCATTTAATCTATTCTATACTACAAAAAAAAGAAAGAAAGAAAATGGAATTAATGAAGACATCGGAAACATCCGAGTGTACGCTGAATTCACAGCATAGTTTTCTATTTTGATTGTCCACATTTACCGGTGCATTTACAGCTTCCACTGTTACACGTACATGATGACCCACATTCGCAGCTATTTTCACAGCAGTCTAGTAAAATAAATTAATAAATAAATAATAAAAGGGATGAATGAATAAAAGTTTATATAGGGATTTTGAAGTCTTTGTCTTGATAGTTCTACTTCAATATCTGTCTGAGTTATTCGCAATATGTTTGAGTAGTTCGTTAAATTACACACACACACACACCACATATATACATAAACCGGATAGTATTCGACTCCCATCACTTATACGTGAAAAGCTTTATAAAATAACTGACTAATAAGTCGGTGAAAAAGAAGAAGAGGGACCATCTCTATCTGCCATAGACTGCTGAAATGTCTCTGTCATCGAATTAGGCATATCTTTCATCTAGCTAAACAGAGTTCGACAGTCATTTTCTCTACTCATAGAGGTATACATATAATAGTCATAAATTAGTATGACTACAAGAGATACTCTATCTCATAAAGCAATAAATATAACCATATCAAATGCATAGATCTAAGTAGTAGAACTGGGGCAGTCAGACTAGCCGAGCATAAAAACCTAGCAGCGAAATCTAGATTAGTTGACCCCAATAATAAGATAAGAAATCTAGAGAACAGTTCAGCTATAGCACTCACTACATGCAATTACACACAACCAGACAATACGATGGGATAGGATAAGATGACAGTTTTAAAATGTAATGTGACAGCTGGGTAGAGGAAGAGAATGATATCCGAAGCTTTGTTTATGGAATCAACTGCGAACACATGTAATAGGAATGATTCAACACCAGTCCAGTCGGACATCTGGAAAATTCTACTACCCTGACGACGACAAATAGGAGAGAACAAAGAAAGCTATAAAAGTCAAGTTACGAAGTCGTGTAATTATAATTGATGAGATGATTATGAATAATAACAGAGTGTGTTCGAAACTCTGTCATCCAGTAAATAATACTGTTTCAATGACTGTGTGATACTAACTACCACTGTGCCCAAGCTGAACACATATATTAATAAAACCACGTCTTTTAGTCTCTCAACCGACTTGCGTCTATATTAATGTTTAAGAATATAAGTGATAAATAGGTTTAAACATAAGAAAATAACATGATCCTTGATAATACTATTTTAGTAGACATTTTAAAGACTCGATACAAATGTGAGGCTACTTTATATCACTGCATAAAAATACACACTTACCAGACATTTTGTAATAAATAATTTACTAATGAATTAAAAATTAACACCAAGTTCGTGTGTTTATATACTATTTTATTATGCGTTTCACATAAGTTTAATTCAATTTCACATTTTTGTGAATAAGCATTAATTAATCAATAAATAACTTCTATTATACTGAGAATAAGATTAATATACTTTAAATCTATTAATCAATACGACTTAAATAAATATAAGACAAGACTATGAGTATTTTCTGTTTAGATTAATGCTATTCAATACGAGAAGCAAGCGAAAAAAAACATAAGAAAGAATATACTCACTATTATAATCTTATATTCATAAAAACCTACAAAATTATGTGGTGCC